TCTTATAGCATATTCGGCCTCATAAGGAGTGAGGCAGCGTAACAAAGGCATTGAAGCTGCTCGCTTGTGTAACTGATCCTCAATCAATATAAAATGTGATGCTCTAAGTCTGATCAACTGAGTGTCAGTTTCTGGCAGTTCACCAGTTTGTAAGTAATCAATCAGAGGTGTAGTCCAGCTTAGTGAGGAGGGATCTGTGCTCAGTACTTAACACTCAACTGCTAGACTGATATAGCTCGGTGCGTGTAGTACTTCAACTAATGTGGTCCTCTGAGGGTTGATGTCTTGTGAGGAAGCTAACTTTGATAACTCATCAGCTCGTCGATTATCTGCCCTTAGTATCTTGTTAATTTGGAATGAGATAAAGCCTGATTTCAATTTATTGACCACAGACACGTATTGATTGAGCTGAGGATCTTTGATGTCACAGGTTCCATTTACTTGATTTACGACGAGCTGAGAGTCGCTAAAGGCTCTTACGCTCTGTGCTTTCAGCTCGGACGCCAACTTCAAACCATAAATAAGTGCTTCATGTTTAGCGACATTATTTGTTGTCTGAAATTTGAACCTCTAGGCATGCTTGGATTTGAAACCATCTGGACCCAGCAGCACTGCTTCTACTCTTGATCCTTCAACATTGGCTGCCCCATCTATATATAGAGCCCATACTGGGTATGGTTATGTGGTTTCCTTTGCAGCCGCCGGTCTGCATTCTACTAGGAAATCTACTAAAGCTTGGCCCTTAATGGTGGTGCACGGCTAAAATTTGAGGTCGTACTCACTAAGCTCGATCGTCCATCCAATTAGCCAACCAGATAGTTCTGGTTTTTGCAGTATCTTCCGCAATGGCAGGTTGGTGTACACAATAATCTCCTGGGATTGAAAATATACTCTTAGTGTTCGGGCGGTGTAGACGAGTGCAAAAGCAACCTTTTTGGCTATCGGGTAATTTCGTTCAGCACCCCTACAAGACTTTACTTGTGTAATAGATGGGTCTTTAGTGTTTATCTTGCTCTCTTAAGAGGATTGAATTGACTGTCTCATTTGCAACCCCTAGATATAGATACAATGTCTCCCCCTCAGTAGGCTTGGAGAGCAAAGGTGGTGATGCCAAATATTGTTTGAGTTCCCCGAAAGCTTGCTCACACTCATCAGTCCACTGGAAGTTCTTTGGTTCTCGCAAAGCTTTGAAGGGTGAGAGGCACTTTTCTGCTGACCTGGCGATGAATCTGTGCAGAGCGGCAAGACAACCTGTTAAACGCTGCACATCCTTTATTGTTTTAGGGGATTCCGTTTGTTGAACGACCTCAACCTTATCTGGGTTCTCCTCGATCCCCTTCTTGGATACTACGTATCCTAGGAATTTGACTGATTCCACAGCAAACGTACATTTCAACGGGTTTAGCTTCGTCTATGCCCGTCGTAAATTTTGAAATGTCTCATTCAGATCGTCAACATGGTCTTCAGCTCGGAGACTGGTGATAATCATATCATCCACATATACTTCAATATCCCGACCAATCTACAGCTTAAAGATGACCTGGACTAATTTTTGGTATGTCGCGCCAGCATTATTCAAACCAAACGGCATCATTACATAACAGTAAATTGCATCCCCTGCGTAAAATGCTATTTTCTGAATCTGATGATACCAAGAGCTAGCATCAAGGAAGCTCATGCGTTCATGTCTTGCTACTCGTTCTACCAATTTTTCCACATTAGGCAAGGGGTGTGGATCTTTGGGACACGCTTCATTCAAATTAGTGAAGTCAATACACATCCTCCACTTGCCGTTGGGTTTTTTGATAAGCACAAAGTTGGATACCCACTCAAAATATTCAACTCTCCTGATGAGGCCTGCTTGTAATAGTTTCTATATTTCCTCATCTATGGCTACCTGTTTCTCAAGGCCCACAAAGGGACGCTTTTGGACCACTGGCTTCCTAACGGGATCCATACTGAGCTTGTGGACTGCGAACTCTGTTGGTATGCTAGGCATTTCATTTGTTGTCCACACAAATACATCCCTATTAGCTTTCAAAAATTCCAAGAGCTCGGTTCTTTCTTCTGGTGTGAGTTTGGTTTCTATTTTCACTGTTTTATTTAGTTCATCTGGGCTAAAGGAACCATCTCAACCAATTTTACTGACTCAGCTTTCTGCTCCACATTCTCAGGTCGATGATCTATGTCAGATATGCCCATTGTTTGTTGACCTGGTTGGCTTAGTCTGGAAACATTTGCACTAGGGGTCTTGTGTGCTACTGCAAACTCAACCTTCTTGAAAGTATCTTGATAACAGGTTTTGGCCATTTTCTGGTTTCCTTTGAGCACACCTACACCCTAAGGAGTTGGAAACTTCATACAGAGGTGTGGTTTAGAGATGACAGTTTTCAATTTGCAAAGTATAGCTCTTCCAATAATAGCATTGAAAGCTGACTCCATCTTAACCACTAGAAAATCTATTAACGCCATCCTACACCGTGGTTCAATGCCCACGTAGATGGGAAATGTAATTACTCCTTCAACAGGGACGGGCTGATTGTCAAATCCGTATGTTGGCCTCTCATACTTTCTCAAGGAACTTGGGTTTAGCTGCATCTTCTGGAAACAACTCCAATAAAGGATGTCAGGAGAGTTGTCTGTGTCTATGAAGACCTTATTGACATTATGATTGCCAATATGAACGGTTGCCAAAAAAGGGTCAGCATGGGCCATCATAACGTCTAGTTCTCCCTCTAACCGTTTGTAATCGGTCGGGTTGAATGTTATTGGTGCATTTTCCCATTCTGCTTCTTCAAAAGGTCATTTTAAAGGTCTATTCTTGTTTACCGTCATCACTTGACGAGCATAAGCTTTATGACCTCGAGCACTTTGGCCTCCTAAATGCATGCCACCAGAGATCATGTTGATTGTGCCAGAAGGTGAGGGTATGCGGCTGTAACCGACCCCTTTATGGTCCTTTTAACTCTGTGTAGATGTTTTATGTCCTTGTCCTCGCTTATTAAATGGGCATCTTCTGTAGGCTCTGCTAAATTCGGATGAGTATTGATTCCCCTAATAAGGATTTTGATTAGTGTCGAGCTGATATCCTTGCCCCTGAAATCAACCATATTCTTGCACAAAATGGGTCTGATTGGGTTGCTGGGCGTAAAGTTTCTGTACATATCCCTCCAATTTTCCGTTGCTAGCTAAGAATTCCAGCTCCTCCTTTAAGCTTTGGCAATCCTCCGTGTTGTGGCCGTATCCCCGGTGATAATCACAATATTTATTCCTGTCAGCTCGTGAGAAATCATGCGTTTGGGAAGGTGGTCTCTTGATCTAGTGTTGTATTTGTGCCAATATCTGAGACCTTGACGAGCTCAATGGAAATTGGCATATTTGGGGAAGGAAGGTGGCTTTCCCCTCTAATCACCAACCTTCTATTTTTTCTTTTCCTCTTTTCCCTTTGGCTGTCTATGCTCTTTACCCAATCTGTCATCAGCTCATCGCTTGGAGGATTGAAAGTCTTCGTACAATATGAAGCTTGTCAACCTGTCATTTACTTCATTCCACGACTTAAGCGGATTCTCTAATAGGTCATCTAGGAACGGGCTGGGTTTGAGGCCATGTAGTAAAGTAGACAAACAAATAGTATCAGGGACATTATCAATGTCCAGAGTGGATTTATTGAATTGTTGCATATAGTCCCTTAATGACTCTCCCTCCTTATGATGAAGCTACTCAACTCTGTAGTGATGCGTTTAATTTCCTTTTAACTCGCAAACTTGTTTGAAAACAGAGTGGCAAGCTTAGAATAAGAAGCTATAGAATGTCTAGGGAGCTTGTGGTACCATCTTCTAGCAGTTGATTTCAATGTCGTAGGAAATACTTTGCACATCATAGCGTCAGTGGCGTTCTAGATTCTCATGATGGCTTGATAAGTATGCAAATGTTCATCTGGGTCACCCAAGCCATTGTCTGTCTCTAAATGAGAAATCTTAAATCCCTCTTGATATGGTTTTGTCATGATGGACAAATTGAGGGGAGCACTATCCAAGTTGAGAGCTTGCAGCGCGACCTAGGATTTTTCAGCTCGTCAATAGATTTTTGTACATCTTTAAGTTGTCTTTCAAAATCAGCATTCTTCTTCAGCAATTCTTCATTATGCCTGGATGAGCTTGGCTCTGGATTCAACTTCCTACTTCTTCTTGGTCTAGTTGGGACCACTACATTGCTCAAAGCTGGGGAGTTACGGGTTGCAACTACTGTTGCCGGTTGCTCAACCCTATTCAATACGGGAATTAAGGGGTCATCTAAGATCAGACGAGAGAGGATTTTTCCCATGACCATTTCTAAAACTTTTGTTCTTTCTTCCAGCTCAATCGTCTAAGCAGATTCCACGAGTCTCTCAGCAGATCGTGAAGTATTATGCTTGGAATGCCTTCGTCTGGCTTTAGACGAGATGTGAAACTGTTCTTCAGGTTAGGTTGCATACCCAGTAGGTGTTCTTTCATCATCTAAGGTGTTTGATTGTTCTTGTTCCGCACCACCAACGATAAGGTTTCTCGGCATTGTTTGAACGTCATTGAGGTCACTTTCTAGGAGTTGAGTATTGTCTTGGTCATTCATGTTGCTTCTCGAGGGGCGGTTTCCTGTAAAGGTGCGTACCATTTTAGCTCAAGCTAATTAAATCACAATGCTTTTTTGTTCAAGTTTCCCACAGACAACGCCAAATGCTTGGATAGCTTCAAGATCCAATACTGTAGATACCTTCAACTGCTTCAACACTTGAAATTCCCGAATATGTTTCCTCGAGGAAAACACTCCAACGCTCAAATTAGCAATACTCAATATTCTAAAAAGAGAAACGTAGTGGAGTTAATACCTTGCATGGAGGTAGTTGGGAGTATTTATAACCCCATATACTGATATGAGTTCAAATGTGTATGCATCCAATTGGCTCACGTGTTAGCCCACGTGAGTGTGTCTCCTCATCTTGGACTTGTGAGCATATAACTGGGCCTATTGTGTGTGGCCCGAAATAGATGTTGGGCCTAATCCCAACATGTAGGAAAATTTTAAGCTGGAAGAAGATTGAAAAGCAGAGTGAACCTCAAACTTTTTATATTTTATATAAATTTACAACCGGTTGTGTCTGGTATTCAACAATGCTGTGCAGGCAAGCATACAGCAGGGATGTTTAAAAACGTAACCATTCTACATGTGATAGCTGTATACAACCGTAACCTACAATTCATTTAAACCACCGGAAAGATATACCTACCCAACCGCAATTCAAGCTTTCTGAACAACTTCTCTAGCTGTTTCATGACGGTAACAATGTATTTAGGTTTGATTTGCTGTTATCGGTGGTTGATCCTGTTGAGTCACCTCGGAGGGAACTGGTTGTTCATTTGATTGACCATGCCGGCTTCTCAACCATTTGAAAACCTCATAAAGAATAGAAGTTCCACACATTGTCATCCCAAACCCAACAAATGTGGAGAGGAGAACAGATATTACAGCCTGTATGTGAAGCTGAAGATCAAAGGGAACAAAAGATAACTTTTAGTTTGGAATATGTTCTTAACAAGAATAGTCTAATATAAACTTCACAAAAACTGCTGTGGTTATTAGAGAACACTCTTACAAATGTGTAGAAGAGATGAGCAGAGAGAACCACCAGGCCAAACTGAAGAGTAGCATAAAACCAAACATATTTTTTCCTCACTGAAAACAAATGTTAGGGTCTGTAAGATAAATGAATTAGTGAGTATAAATCAACTCATCAAAAGCTGAGTACACAAACTCAATTCCCACCCATTGTTGTTGATGTCATGGAAGCAAGAAGACCCAATATACAAGAGAATGGAAGTGAGATGGCAATTGCACTAGACTTCATTTTTGAAACCTGCAAATGTGAAATATAGAATAAGGATAACAGGCCGAAAAAGAAAGTTAAACATCTCCAAGTTACTAACTTACCAGAAGCTGCTCAAGAAAACAAAAATAAGCAAGCATGCTGACAATGACAAGTATGGGAACATCCTGCCAGACCCTGTTGAAAATCGAAACATTTAATTTATCCATCTTTAAAAAGGGTGTGTTCATTACGTAATATCTAGAAAATATAAGTTAGAAAGCAAAAAGAATAAAACAATCTCATTTGCATTCAACTGTGAATATTTTTACTTGCCTGTATCGAACAGACTCAGCTTGCTGACCTCTAATTCCTCTCAAATTATGGGTCTGAACATTTTGAACTCGTAGAAGGGTAACAGGTAGATTTTGAACCTCTTGCTTGCATACATCACATATTTTGTTACCTTTAATGCTAAACCATTTTATGGCACATTCTTGGTGAGCAAGGGCAAGTTCACCTTTGCAGCTGCATTCCATCTTGAAGGTATCACCGCCTTCTCCCACTTCAATCAAGCAGATTCTACAAACAGCTTCTTCTTCAGGAATATCTTCACCACCATCATTGTTTCCATCTGAACCATAAGACTAAGGTAAGATATAACATGGTTATGGCAAGCTACAGAAGAAAAGCGGAGCTCAAAGTTGATAATGGATTACGAGTTAAAAATCTTAGTGCTTAGAGTTTTCTGAACTGATAGCATTGATTAGAATCATGCTAAAAATGAATCCCCAAAACAAAAAAATAGATTACAGTTTTTAGCTAATTTCGCTATGCATCCACAGCCATACAATATGTTTAATTAATTAGAAACTTTTGTTTCCATGACAACTCAGTGGGTTGTATGGCTTGACCATAGCTAGGAACATTTCAAGCTCCATTTAAGGTTCCATGCAACGCAGTTGAGCAGCAGACAATTGATGCTTTCAAGTTCCATGCTCTTATACACTTCTGTGGCTGCATCTGTAATTAGTCTCTTGCTGCATTTTATGGAAATTCAAAGGTCCTTTATCTAGATGGCCAAAAAGAAAAGCTATTTTTGTCTAAAAGAAGATTTGATCATGCATATTCTTCACTGACTCAGCCAACACAACAAAGACCTTTTAGTAAGTTCCAAATCTCCCCAACTCAGAAAAACACAATATTTTTTAAAGTTATTACCTTTTATTCTCCCTTCTGTATTTTGAACTCCTAATAAAATACCTATTCTTTGCTTCCTTTGGGGAGGGGACAACTGAGTTGGGATAGAGGGAGCTACCAGTACCATTTTCAGGAGATGGGTTTGATGCAGTAGTGGTGGTTTTGTTGGCAACTCTTGGAGTCGTAGGAATTACACGAAATACACCTCCAAAAGAATCCATCCGTGTCATGCTTCTTCCATCTTTGTTTAGCACAGGAACTGAGCGTGAACGATGAATGGGTGGCCTTGCCTCTCCTTTCTGTAAAGTGAGGAATTCTGTAAGAATCAAGTAAGAATAGGACCACTCATTGTGAGGGATAAAGGTCAAAAAGAAAATTTAATTTATAAATGAATAAGTAATGCAACGAGAAAATATAGCACACACATAGATGTAGCTAATACTTAGAAGAGCAACTTGGTAACAATAAGTTGCAAATGCATGAGGATTAGCGATGAAACTAATGCAGGAAATTCAAGATTCCCTACCTATAGCTTAGCCTAGAAGCTATCTATGCTTCATGTCATTAGTGGACTTACAGACAATATTCAGTTGAGACATTGCTTGGACCTCAATAGAAACTAAACTGATCCAAGAAGTGCCCTAATCAAGGTAGAAAGAGGTTGGGCAACCCTTCATCTAGGACAGTGCTACTACCAAGCATTTATGTGCATAAAGAATCAAATAGAGCAAGTATTTGGTTTCAATTCAGCTATATATGGGTGCTCTAATACAAATTAAAATAAAGACTACAAGGAACTAACAAAATTTTGTGAAGTGTACTGATTATAAAAATAATTCATAGTATCTGAGTATGCTGCATGTTTACCAGAAATTTGGTAGCCACATAATGAATTCTTAAATTCAGAAATTAAGTTTTTAGCTTTGAATTCCAGCAATCTAAACTTGAGGCAGAGTCTAATATTGATACTCACCTCTTCATTATGAAGATTATTTCTTTTATATCTAGCAGTGCATCATCTAGCATAGTAGCATTTTTAATTATCATTTAGGCATAGCATTAAACATGATTAGTCACCAAGCAAGCATGATCTGGAAGCTAGATACTCACAGTAGGAAGGGTATCATTTGCCTCTCGCTGTCCGTGCATGGACTCCGGATTTGAGTGTACTGTTGGCGTAACAGGAAATGATGATGTTTTCTTGGTTCTTGGTGTGAAAAGCTTTGGCAAAGAGAATGTCCTTTGAAAGCGAGGCTTCCCCCTTGTCTCTGCTGATGGACCTCCTAGTGCTAAGACGGCAGCCTTCTGAATATCCGAGGTAGTATTACGGTATTTGAAACTCAATTTTGGAAGGAGGCTTCGAAACACTAATTTATTTTTTGATGTTGAAGGACCTGGGGACTCATCAAATTTGGAAATTTTAGGACTGGGAAGAGGTGAAAAGTTTACTCTTCTGGGAGTAGGGCTCGGTGTTAAGGACATGTTTATCCTCACAAAATCTTCTGTGGCATCTTCAAAAGTTCTTTTTGGTATTTCTAAAGCAAGGTTTGGCCCCCTTCGCTGATGATCAAGCTGAGTTTCTTCAACTATTTCAGTCGAATCTCCAACCTATGATAGAGAAGAAGAAGAAACATTCTCATCAATCAGCAGAAATATAAATTCCAATGAATTAATAACAATTGCTGGCATCTAAGCTCCTATACTGTCATGGATCCTCATCTTGTCCAATAGAGTTATAAATTTATAAATGAATTTAAAGAGTTAGCATCAACTAATAAGTTTGTATTGCAAATCCTTATGTCTGCACAAGGGAAGATGACTTAGTCATTGATTTAAGCAGTAAAGAAAAAGAAAGCTCATACACCATTGACAGAAAATGGGACCCCCCAAATAGGTGGAGCATTAAAACAAGATATACATGGTCTATCCTAATTACTTGCTGTTTCAAACATTACTTAATTTGCTCTAGATTAGAAGTTGACTGAAAGGACTTTGAACAATTTTTTATGCTTTTCCTTGAATGTCTGTAACAATTCAGACATACAAAATTGAGTCTCCTAAAGCCTTGAACAATTTGGTATGCTTTTCCTTGAATGTCTGTAAGAATTTCAGACATGCAAAATTGAGTCTCCTAAAGCCTTGAATTAGTGACTAGCAGCATAGTTTTGGTTAAGCAAACTCTCAAATTCTATAATTCAGTTAGGTTTTGTGCCAAAGATCAATCCAATACCTTAATGAAATCGGTAGTACAGTCAGTAGAGGATGTGGATGTAGATATCCAAAGCACTTCAGTGCCAGGCTTAAGCCAAATACTTTACGCCTGAACTGATTCATGAAGTTTATCCTAACTTAAATAAGAAGAAAACCCACAAAGCTGATGCTGGTGATCTTGTAGAGCTCAAGTGAAGCTCCAATTCTAAAATCCTCTCTTTCAGAAAACGTCAAAAAGACAGGTAACCTCAGAAAAATTTTAACTTCTTCTATCAGGATAAAACCCAGAAGGGATGAATGAAGACCCAAAACTGGAGATAAACTTGGGAAGAAATTCATGATCTTTACAGCAAAAACGAGAAAAAGTCCCAAAATTGACCACAGAAGGCTATGAATTGTAGAAGAAGACAAACCAGAATAGAAAAAGGAAAGCAAAAACTTAAATAAAGAGAAAAAAAGGGAAAGAAGACAAGTACCCTTTGCAGTGGAGGATCAACGGTGCTGTTGGCAGTCCATCCTCCATTCTCCTCAACCCCTTCTCCTTCATTTCCCATGTTTCACAAAGAATTTTTGAAGGAAAGAATGTTAAGAGCACAGAATTGATGTATGAAAATGGGTCTCTCACAGAAACACTGTAGGAATTATGAAACTTCCGCTTGCTTTCTTGTTTCCTGCAGTCAGATAAAAACGGGGGAGCATAAGTACAAGGAGGCAGGAGCAGCTGCCATGCCACCTTTTGGTGAGAGACAGAGAGAGAAGAGAGCCTTTGGATATGTTGGGCAACCGAGCCAAGTTTGTTGAGGTGAGTCTGTCATGGTGCCATGCCATTTTGGACCAACATGGAATACAACTAAAAAAACTATTACACTTTTCAAATTATAATTTAATTTCTTCTCAAAAATTACAATAAAATAAAATTTCCTACCTCAAAAGAATAAAGTTGTCTTTTTTCTAGGCATTTTCTTAAGCTGTGTAAAAGGCGATTTGTATCTAGCATTACCACCAGATATACATCATATGCTGTCCCTTAAGAAATTCCAACGGCTGTGAAATTAAGTCTTCCTTCTATACCATTTCACTCAAACTAAACAAACTTTAAATTCAAGTTGTAATTTTTTTATATTAAAAATTTTAAATTTGCTCAACACTTTAAGTGGTAATTTCTTTGCAATATTCTCTGAAAAAAAAAATACAAGATACTATTTTGAATTGTGTGAAATACAAATAATATGAGTAAAAAAAAGTAAACTTAAGCAACCTAAACTATATGTAAAAAATAAATTTTGCAAGTGCAATCAAATCGGTACTAATACACTAACACTAGGATTGGTAATCTCTTAAAAAATTCTTGTATTGCACCACTTGCCCTTTTCTTTATGTATAATAATAAATTTCTCATTTCGTAGTTAGGGGCGGCTATATATAATTTATTCAAACGTTTTAAAATGTGCAGGTTCGTTCTACAGTCAAATTACGTTAGCGTAAATCTCCTCTTTCAATATAAAAAATGTTACTGGGAACAATGAATGAAATCAACGCTAGGATGGTTGGTAAAAAAATAA